AACTTAAGCTTAATTGTGAAACTATAATACTGTCTAGTATTCAACCCCACCAGAGATTTGAGAATAAATATTACCTGAGAATTCAGGAAATGCGGGACACAGCTTCAAAATTCACAGAGATGACAGAGAAAGCTGATTACCTAGATAGTCTCCAATATACTCTAAAACACTGGAGCATCATCTTTAGTCTTCTGGCCCAGAATCTCTGACAGACCTTTTGTAAAGCATGATCTACCTTAGGGAATTTTTTGAATCAAATCAGGTATTTCTTTGTTCATTTCCTGTCTGGATGATTGAGAAAATTTGATATTGAAGATTCCCATCTATTATTGTATATAGGCTATTCTTTATCCCTTCAGGTGTTTCTGTGGTGGATACATATATCTTTACTTGTTATGATGTATGCTGAGTTGTTTTGTTAATATATGATGACTTTTTTGTCTGTCTTTGTATTGGTCTATAGCATGAGCATGGGCGAAAGTCCAGTTGGTTGAGTTGTGGGTCCCGTGTGTCTGCCACCCCAAGGGGCTGGGGCCAGGGCAGTTCACCTGAGTTCACTCCATGTGCACCAGCCAGACATCGGGTTGTGAGAAGCTGCAGCACTCTACTCCAGGTGTGGGGAGGACATAGTCTGAGACCCCCACGGGGGCCAGAGCTCTTGGGTTGGGGATCCCTGGGCCAGGAAGTGGACGGGGACCAAATGGCCTCAAGCCCTTGGGCTCTCAGGTGCTTCTGAGAGGCCATAGAAGGACTGAAATGGGGTGAACAGGCTGGATTGGCCTGCAGATGAAGGGGCAAGGGGGAGGAGCTCTAGTGGCATCCTATGGGGAAGGTGAGACTGTTGGTTTCGGTGACTCCCTTGCCTGGGTCTCCATGGCTAGAAGGTAGAGAGGTCATAGGAGGGAAGTTAGAAGGTGGCTCGGTAGTTGAAGACTTTCTCCCTCCACGGTTCCCCATGGCGGGCCCCAAAGAGGAAAGGTAGTCCATGATGTTAAAATGTTTATTGTTATGGTGGAAAATGGATGAAGCTATACCCCATGTTCTCAGGGCCGGCCTGAGGTTAAATACCTTTTTCGAGGAGGAGGGTCTGGGAAGGAATACTTAATTGGCTATGCCCTCTGGCCTTTAGGTAACTCCATGAATATGGAGATGCCTTGAGGCTCTGCCATCTGTCTCATGACCTGTACCTGTGCTACATGACTGATGGCCACAAACCTCTATTTGGGAGGGGCTGTAGAGGGCTGTGGCTAAGTGAAGGCAACCAGAGGTCCCAGGAGCAAAGCTGAACTCCTACTGTCCCTTTAGGGTCTCCGGGGTTCAAGGCCTGCACTTGACCAGGTACCCAGCTGCCTCTCACAGCCCACCACCCCACATCTTTGCTCTTTTTATTTAAAATTCTTCCTTATCTGGTGTGAGTACCATGGTCCCACTTTGCTTTTGGTTTCCATATCTTTTTCCAGTCATCCACATTGAGTCTACAAGCAGTGGCATGAGAATCTTTTGGATGTTTTTGTTTGGAGCAGCACATAGAGCTTGATTTTTTTTCTTTCATTTTGTTGTTTGATCTATTTGGCCAGTCTGCATATTTCAGTAGATGAATGTAATCCATTTACCATCAATGTTATTGATAGTTATGAACTCCCCCTCTTTTGTTAGTCACTTCCTGATTGTTGTGTGTTGTTTTGGTTTCCTGATCATTACTTTCCTTTGTGATCCAGTAGCTTTCCATCATGCTAATGTTCCCTTTCTCTTTTATACAACTATTTTTCCAGTAAGTTTTATGTGCCTGTGTATTTTCATGATGGTAGCTACTGTTTTGTTCCTAGTATTCCTGTAATTATCCTGTTAGGATGGTCTCCTAATGATAATTCTGTGGTTTCCCCTAACTGATTACTGGGTACAGTAATCTAGGATGGCAGGGGTTTTTTTGGGGGGGAGGGTGAAGGATGCTCTATTGTTGCTTTTTCTTCTTTCAAGACTTTGGTCATATCATGCATTCTTTCTAGCATGTGAGGTCTCTACAAAGAAACCTGTTAAAAGTCTAATGGGAATTCCCTTGTATGTGACCTGAAGCATTTTGCTTGCTGCTTTTGGAATCTTGATTTGTATTGTACTTTTACCATCTTGTCTATAATATTTTGGTGAAATGTTTTGTTTTGTTTTGTTTTGTTTGTCAAATCTAGTTGAGTACACTGAGTTTCCATAGCTTAGAATCAGTAACTCTTTGAGAATTCAAAAATTTTCTGCTATTACTTCATGAAGTAGGTTTCTAATGTTCTTTTCCTTCTGGAATGTCTGCTTTCTCCTTTCTTTAGGTCACCTGTCTTGTACCTCGTAAAATTTCCTTAGCATAATTATTTTGTATTTTCATAGACTTTCTTCAAATTGGGATCTATTTCTGGAGAATTCCTAAGTTCTTTGGAGGCTGTGTGCTTCTTTTCCTGTTTCTTATATCCCTATACTGATGCCCATGAATCTTGTGAAAGAGTTGCCTCTTCTAATTTTATGAAGTTGTATAGAAAAGTGTTTTGTTTTTTATTTACATTGGATGTATGGTGCTTGTTGGGTAGATCTCTTGGCTTTATTATGGGTGTTCTCAAAAGTGTATCCTGTATGTGATTTGTTTGGCTATGGTGGTATCAGCAATGTGTATTGAATCTCAGTGGCCTAGATTAAAGTGATTCATGAAAATAGTTTTATGACTTTGCAGTTCATATAGGTTTCTTTTTTTTTTTTTTTTTTTTTTTTTATTGGATGATTTATTTACATTTCCTATGTTGTCCCCTTACCCCATCCCCCACCACCCCCTCGGAACCTCCAATCCCCTCGCCCCTCCTCCTTCTTCTCTGTGGATGTAACCTCTATCTACTCCCCCCCACTCCCACCTCCCCACCCTCAAAATTCCCACCCCCTGGGGCATCCAGCCTTCATGAGGTCAAGGTTCTCTTCTTCCACCTATGCCCAGCAGGGCCCTCCACTTTTACATATTCAGCTGAAGCCCTGGATCCCCCCCTAAGTGCTCCCAGGCTGGTGGTTTAGACCCTGGGAGCTGTGGTT